TGCATGGTTGAGACATTTGAGGTGAGTGCTCGGATCATGTCTTCGGTGGACATAGCTGAGCCTTGCCCTTGGGGTTTAGAGTATGGTTGCTTTTGAGGAAATTGGTTTTGTGGATGGTTGTTTTGTGGTGGGTTTCCTTGCGGATTCCCATATCTCAAATTTGGGTGATCTCTAAACCCGGGATGATAAGTGTTGCCGTAAGAATCATACCTCTTTTGGTTTGGGAACCCCAAAGCGTTGACCTGCTCGGGGTTTTCTTCTTGAAGGCTCGGGCATGCATCGGTGGGATGGCCTTGTTGTGTGCAGATGCCGCAGACCTTGACTTCTTGGGTTTTGGAATTTAAAAGAAAATCCTTTACCAAAGAAGTCAAGCCGGCAACTTGACTTTCTAGAGATGATGTTGATTCGGCCGCCATGACTCTTTTTGTTGATGACCGCCCGTTGTGATATCTACAATTCTCAGCCAACTCCGAGATAAGATTCATAGCTTGAGAAGGAGTCTTGTTTACGATCCCTCCTCCACATGCGGCATTAATCATCCGTCTATCATCATTGCAAAGACCATCATAAAAGTATAGGATGAGGTCTTGCTCCGAATAGCCATGATACGGACAGCTTGCACAAAGTTTCTTGAATCGTTCCCAGTATTCATAGAACGATTCATCATCTTTTTGTTCCACATTGCTTATTTGCTTTTTTAGAGATGAGGAGACAGAGGCTGGATAGTACCTTTCGAGGAAAGCTTTCTTCATGGCTGCCCATGTATCTATACTTCCCGAAGGAAGATAGAATAGCCAATCTTTTGCGGTATCTTTGAGGGAGAATGGAAAGGCCCTCAACTTTATCTGTTCCTCGGTGACTCCATTAGGGCACATGCTCGTGCAAACAACATGGAACTCCGAGAGATGTTTATTTGGGTCTTCTCCTCTTAAGCCATGGAAGGATGGCAAAAGATGAATGAGCCCTGATTTGAGCTCAAATGTATTACCCTCGTTGAGTGTAGGGAAGGTAATACACAACGGTTGTTGATTCAAGTTTGGAGCTGTGAGCTCCCTCAACGTTCTTGTTTCAAGAGCCATAGTTATTGGCTCTTCGTTCTCGCTAGAACAAGAACTAGTGCGTGATGATTCCTCCGAAGAAGTATTCGGAAATAAGTTCCTAAACCTCTCGAAGGCTTGTTCCGATTCGGGATTTGTTTGGTAGGTGATTTGGTTTATAGATCGGTGTTTAACCATATACTCAAACAAAGCTCAGAAATAGGAAATAAGAACTCTTTATATTTTTATTTAATTAAATTTTTATTTTTTATTTTTCTTAAAATAAAAAGAAAAATAATCGTCTTTTCCCCGGCAACGGCGCCAAATTTGACGTGCACTTGTCGTGAGGTGCACTCAAAATAAATAATACAATACAACACTTATACGTAGTATAGCGTAGTAAGGTTCGTATCCACAGGGAAAGGAATACTTTTCTTCTTACAGAAATAGATAAATAACAATAAGGGGGGGTTTATATTTGGTTGATGACTTTAAATTATATTTAAACACGAAGATGAACGAGTTATGTGATTTAATTAATGAGAAGAAGACTTGGCTTTGCTTTTATCCACTTAATGAAATGTTCGTCGATCCCGGTTATATCTTTAACTATCTTCCTCTCGAATACTCAATCGAGGAGTATATCCAATTCATCGAGGGTAGTTATTAATAACGAGACGCGTTCATTAATAAAACTTACATACCGAGTTAATATAGAACACGCGCCGTATATTTACTCGATAGTAGCAATAAAATCAAGATGAAAACGATTGAGATTGATAACCTCAACACAAGCGGTTTGTTGGTTTAATCAATATAATTAATTCCCCTTGGCTTATTAACCATGAGACGCATGCATTAACAACCCAAGTTTACTACCGTGAAAGGACCGAGTTAATAACAATCGTATTAATCGACCGATTCTAGTATTAATTAATATATGAAACAAAACTAGTTGATCCTTTAAGTATTGTTCAAAATATTAATATGTAATAGGAATAGGAATTAATTAATATTCAAGGAAGAAGATTAAAGAAAATAACTCACAACTTACAATTCATTAAGCTTCAAAGTAGCAAAACCAAGATGGAAGAGTTTAGCTCCTCATTTGGAGACTAAACATGATAAAAATATGAAGAAAGAACTTGTCTAAACTGAGCTTAGAAGTATATATGAATTGGTAATTTGTTGTGGAGGAAATGGGGTGTATTTATAGGCTTTTTAAGCTTGCAGGATCGTGTACCCGATCGGGTTTTCAGCCCACTCGATCGGGTACCATATGCGGTTTCCGCGAAGCTGGAAAATGGGGTCATACCCGATCGGGTCTGTCGGTCACCCGATCGGGTATGGACACCCGAACGTGTTAAAATCTTCCCGCATGATGCCTTGTTCCCGGATTCGATGTGATTCGAAATTTCAGAAGGGTACCCGACCGGGTATAGGTCATACCCGACCGGGTACAGACCAAAAATGAAATCTTCACTTTTTTCTTGTATTCTTGCACCTTCCTTGCACTTGTGATGTTTCACCAATGGTTTCCAAAGTGTACTTGGACCTGTTTGAGCTCAGAATGAACCTAATCTAAACAAATTACAAGAATTTAACAGACTAAACTATTTACACCGAAAGTGTGTAATTTCCGAAATATTAAACAACCAAAACTATCTAAAAACGTAAATAAACACACGGAAATTACAAACATATCATATACCCAGCGCCAACCACCCACAGTCTTGTTCCCGGCTGCCCCTGGCTGCCAATCTGTTCCTGTCGCCGATCGTCGGAATCCGCTGAAAATTCCCAGAATGGATTTTCGGCCAATTTTACGCTATCGCCGACATTAATTAATTAGATTAAGGGTAGAAAATTAATGTTTAGTCTTATTTGTGAAAGATTTAGATTTAGAAAATTAATTAGATTAAGTTGCAATTATGATTATATTAGTCTTATTAAAGCCAGAACCGGTTTTAGCACGTTCAACATGTTCCACAGAACAGGGCCTCCTGATTTAAGGGCCTCAATTTTTTTAAAAATTGTTAGTATACATAGTGATAATATAGATCAATACTAATAAGTAAAATAAACTTATTGTCAGTCCTCTTACTCTTGCTTTACTCAAATTGAATGAGTGATGAGTTTGTTGCTTTAAATCAAGTATTTAGGGATATTTTAAAAAAAAATCATTACATTATTTGATGAATATTCAAATGATTTTAGTATAAACATTTGATTTATGCCTGAAATTAACAGCTGACTGACAATAGTTCGAATGATAATTTTTAGTATATCCTAGATTGTTAATATTTTAGGAAATTATTAAAACATGAACTCTAATTTTTGAACTATCTTTGAACTTTACTCGTACTTTTTTGAAGAAAAAAAAAACTATTTGTACATACTCTTGTATAGGGGCGGAACTAGTGGGAGCGAGTCGGTGATGGCGCCTCCCATTCGCCTGAATACACTACTACAATTTAAGACCTAACGTAACATTGAAGATGTAACATACCTATAAAAGTGTTACATTTTTCTCTAATGTAACACTTTTTAGATCTAATGTAAAACTTTCTAGAAGTATAAATGTTATATTAGGGACTATAAAGTGTTACAATAGGTCAAATGCAACTTGAGCAAATGTAATGGTAAAAAAGTGTTACATTTTCTCTAATGTAACACTTTTCAGTGCTATTGTAACACTTTTGGGTGATACATTAGATGTTGAAATGTTGTAGTGATATTTAGTGTGTATGTGTGCGCGCGAGTATTACTTAAGGCGGCACCCTTGAAGCTTTCATGGTTTTTGAGTCGCCTGCTTAATAGTAGTGTTGTTTATGCTGAACGAAGCCGATGAACTGTTGTTATTTTTTGTTTTAAAAATTCACTTAGCTAAACGGCAACATTATTTACTCCAACTCTAAGTCTCTACGTATAAAGAAAACAGTGGAATGAAACGACATCCCAAAACACAACGACATACTCCCTCCGTCCCTTATAACTTTGCCAACTTTCCTTTTTTGGATGTCCCATTAACTTTGCCACTTTCCCATTTAAGTAAAGAATTTCTGGTTCCAGTTAATTCTCTCTCCTCTGCACAAACCTCAACCACACAGTTTTTACTTTATTAATCCCCGTGCCGGTCAAACTTGGCAAAGTTATTAGGGACGGAGGGAGTATATGTAGTACATATTAGTAATCAAATAATTTAAACCATCGGTAATTTACATTTACTCGTCGCCTCATTGCTGAGTGCTCGTCAAGTTGATAAATCTGGTTCCACTGGTGCTTGTATGTGAATAAACTTGTTGAAAGTATTGGTCCTACCAAGGTCTCACTTCCACTTTATTAGCTAAGACTTGCACCCTATTAATTTACTCACTCTTTGATACCTTTTACCTTAGTATATTATCCGATCAATTATATACCTGGTGTCAGCCCCACTGCTTGCCTATCTGCTGCCCCTCTTATTGTCTTGGCTTATACCCGTGAGTGTCCTTGCCAACCCGTGAGTGCGTTTTTGTTTGCCCGTGACTTTGCTATAAGCTGGCAGCCTATTATAAAGTCAACACTCCTCCTTTGTGAGATAAGCCTGCGAGAGTATTCCAGAGAGCAATGTCTTCCTTCTTCCTTCTTGAGAGTTCCTTTGTGGTTAGAAGAAGAGAGTAAAGAGAGAGGTGTGCTATAGCCTCCTCCTGGTGTTGTATGTGCCGGGGCGGACCCAGGAAGTTTATATTGGGAAGGCGGTAACTTAAAAAAATATTTTTTGGGAGGGTGAAAAATTATTTTTTGATATATATATACATTAATTTTTTTTGTTGGAGGAGCCGCTGCCCCCTGGGTCTCTATTACGGTCTGCCCCTATGTATGTGAGTATAGTGGAATACACCTGAGCCGGAGACGGAAGAAACTATTCCTACAAAATTGTTCACAGAAAAATCATGACTTTTTGTTTTATTTTTGGCAATTCTTCCTAAAAGGCAAATGGGCAATTTCTTCTTCTAAAATTCGTAATCCGAAGAGACTAGGATTTGTGCTAAATAAATAAATCATGAACTCCAATTTTTAAACTATCTGTGCGAATTTTATTTTAGGCAATTTCTTTCTAATAAAGGGGCAATTTTATTTTATCTTAAATTCGTAATCCTAATCCCTCGGAGCCGGACGTACTAGGATTAGGATTTGTGCTCCTTAATCCAGGGCCGGCGACAATAAATTTCGTCGATTCTTACTTCAATTCTTTGATCCATCAATCTTACTACGCATTATATATATAGAGTGATGCTCCGACGCGCGGCAGCGACGGGGAACTACCTTTGTGGTATGATGTGGAACGTGGAGGAGATAGATACAGAAGATGTTCCTGGTCTTCAAAGGTCTCTGGTGAGGATATATATGAAAGATGGGTATGCTTCGTGTGCTAAAACATGGTTTCTGGACCGTGAAGAAAGCGGCAGGAAGAAGGAAATTCTGTATAGGTTTGAGAAGTGCGTTGACGTGAGCGGTGAATGTGCTTGGACTAGTGACTTGGAGAAGATTCTCCGGGAAGGATCTGAAGAGGAAGAAGAACTCATGACTTTATTTACGGATAAAGTACTCTCCCCCTTCCACCAATTTGTCGACGGAAAAGGGCTCAAGAACTTCGCAAGTTTTTTTATAAAGGGATGTCGTGATCGGCTTATTCCTCTCGTCAATCACAACTCTAACTCAAAGCTATACTCGATTAGCCTGGGTTTATCTCTAGAGCTCTCCGTAACTGTGGGGGTAAAGGCATGGACCTGGTTTGAAGAGTATAATTTTGGGTTTAAAGGCCTGGAGCAACCGCCGCCTGGTATGCTTGATTACGATCATACATCTCCAATGCCTCTGCCGAGGATAGTGGGGGATGGCTACGGTTTCTTCCAACTTGGCGGCGGTGGTGGAAATGAGGATGAAGAAAAAACATGTGCCATTTGTTTCCGCAAGTACGAACCGCAGTGCCTAGTGATTCGCCTCCAATGTGTGGATGAGCTTCTCCCCGAGCATCGCCGCAAGGTCGAAACCGCAACAACAGCAATGTTGCTGCCATGTAAGCACATATTCCATGCAAATTGCATTGCGGGCTGGTTTCGGGTTTCAGATGATCTAGCACCCAACAAGCCGCTATCACGTAATAATACTTGCCCTCTATGTAGGTTTGCGATCCCCAGCCACTATTTCATCTTTTCTCTTGCACGTTGTTTTCCTCTGAAGAGTGTGAGGTTCAAGAAGAAATTCGAGGGTACTTGGGAATGAACCAGGCCGGGCCACCAAGTCCATTGGGTTTGTATGCATTCTAAGCAATTTTTTAGTTATTTTGATGACAATGGGCAGATTTTTCCATGTTGTCTCATTTTATGAATGCAACAACCCGGCCACTTTTCTTCTCTTTCCCTTTTCATAATTATGTTTTGAGTCAATTTTTTGCCATATGATATTTTATACGGAGTATTAGTTATAGGGGAAATCGCACTTTCAATCTCAAATAGGGCTTACATTGAAATTTAGTTCCCCTACTTTGCTGCATTTTGATTGTTGCAATTTGATTCGTCTTTGTTATGTAATCACCAGCGCACTCATTTATTTTATCCTCAATTGTTAGTAGTGCTCCGATTGTTCCATTTAAAATTTTAAAACATGTTTTCAGGATGAAAACATCTTTCTCGCGTACGCCAAAAGATGTCTCATCTCCGAGTTTGCTGCTCAAATGCCAACTGCAAAGAACCCAAATCTGTCTCCTTGTCCTAATAATGACCCAACTGGAGGTGATAGTAAGGTATATTTATTCATTTTGTAACTCAGTGTAGGATAAATACATTTGTTATGTCACTGAAATCATTTTTAACGACCCAGTTAACAGCGATTAAACCTAAGATGATCCGAATGCTAAAATAGTGTGCCATTTTACTAAAATTAGCAGAGTACTGCTTTCCAAGGCCGGGCTGATGTGCCCCTATTATTAATAATGGAGGCTGTATTTGACTATGTTACTCCCTCCTTCCCTAATTTATCTTCCAAATAGGTTTGACACACACTTTAAGATAGTGGGTATTGTATGGTAGAGAGTTGTGCAGAGGAGAGAGAAATGTGTAAAAATTGTTGTGAACCACAAATTCTTTACCAAAAAGGAAAAGTGGAAGTTTTAATTGGGACGGACGAAAAAGGAAAGTTGGAAGTTTATTTAGGGACGGAGGGAGTATATAATTGGCCAGTAATCACTGACAACTCGGCGAGTAGTCACTGCTCGAGGCAACACCTTGTTGAGTAGGTTACCAACTTAGAGTCCGTTTGGTAGCACGGAAATCGGCTGATTTGGCTGATTATGCTGAAATGTATGAAACCTGGCTAAAGTGGCTGCATTGGCTGATTCTGCTGATTTAAGAAAAAATCATTTTTAAAATTTATTTTATTAATCAAATAAATAAAAAATTATATGTAAAAATAGCTTAAATGGTTATCTACAGTAACTTCATCCAATACAGCGAGAGAAGTAACTTCAACCTCACTTTTTCTGCTTATTACTACCTCCGGTTTTTTTTAATCTTCACAGTTTGACTTCACACAAAATAAGGAAAGAAATTTGACTTTACTGTAGAGTACACTGTTGAGGCACTGTTTGACACTGTTTGGCACTGTAGAGACACTGTTTGGCACTGTTGAGACACTGTTTGACATTGTTTGACACTGTTTTGATGTAGATTTCTTTGCCAAAAAAGGAAATAAGGAAGTGTGAAGTTTATTTTAGACCGTCCCAAAAAGGAAAGTGTGAAGTTTATTAAAAACCGGAGGGAGTACACAATTGAGCCCGCGAAAGCAAAAATTACATTTCAATACTTACTTTTGTGGCTGTATTTATGATTTTATATTGCAGAGCTGAGTATCACCGATTAATTCCAAGTAACTGATCTTAAGTGCTACTCGGCCATTTCATTGAATTGACACTTTGACATCAAGTAGTAACAACTTACTAATATTAGGAGTTTGTGTGGGGATTTTTTTAGTGGGGTTTTATTGGATTTCATCACATCAACCAGGGGCGGATCCAGGATTTCATGTTGGACTGGGCTGAAAAATTTAATTGATAATACATTAAAAATTTTCAAAATAAGCAAAAATATATATATAAGAGTTCTCCACTAAATTTGTTCTAGACGAAGCTTTGAAACAAAAAAAACTCGTCAGTTATAGAGTCTACATCTATACTAAGAGTATGACCTTTTTCAATATAAAGTGTATTGCAATTAACAAAAAGTTTCACGGAGTGTTGTCTTTAAAAGTTTCACGGCAGAAAATGATCATTCTATTGTTGAAGTGAAAACAATAAGATCAATACAAAGCGAATCAACTGCTCACATAATTCAACAAGTGTAGATACTCGAAACTTTGTATCATGAATCACATCATGAGCATAGTGTTGTCGCTTGAATTCAAAAGCATTACTAAAACCTTCGGTATAGAACTTCCTTGCAAGAGATTACAAATAGCACCGGCATTGAATGACACATATGAACTTTCGGGATCCAATGAAGCACTCAAAGAAAGGAGTTTGATCCATTGATTTATCATTAAACCGAGTCCTTAACTTCATCAATACAAAGTCTATTGCCTCATTGAAAACATCAAAGTGATAATGAATGCTCAACTGTAGTTTCTTTTCGACAATGACCAACCATATATTTAGAATTCAATTTCGGTTCAAGAATTTCTTTTTTGAGCAAAACTCCTTTGCTTCTTCAAGAAAGCCTTCACATCCATTTTATGTCACTTCCCTGAGAATGAGTTGTGTAGTAGAAACATGTCTCATTGCTATCAAGATATCCAATAATTGTTTGAAGGTCTTGATAAAGAATACTCGTTATATCAAAAGTGAATTGAACACAAATTCAAAACATGGAAAATGTCTATATACACTATGAACTTCTGCCCAAGAACTCACTTTTGGGCAATGTTCTTGAATATACTCAAACACTTTACAAGTTGATGTGCATCATATTTGAATCATATTTTATTGTATTTATTACATTTATTCCTTTTGGGCTTTACGACCCTTATACGTACGATGTACAAAAGTGCCTCTTGTTAAGTGGGAGGTAATTCGTATAACATTTTGATTAGATTTTTAGATGGAATGATTTTGTTTTATGGGTTGGGCTGAAAAATTGGATTGGGCTATAGAAAAATTTGGGCTGGGCTGGATAGAATTTTGTGAAAATAATACCTTAAAAAAATTAATTTTTTTTACTTTGCCCTGGGCTTCAGCCCACCATAGCCCTAACATAGATCCTCCCCTGACATCAACACTGTTTTTGTGATATTTCATCGTGATGTACAGTGTGTCTAGTGATTTATTGAATTTTATGTTTTACTACATACTAATACTCAGGTCCAGCCGTCCGAACTTCACTGTTTGGGGCGATTCCCGGTGGAATTTTCTGATGAAATTTTTTGAGCATGTTCCTCATCAAGTCTAGTTTGTCCATACCAAATTTCAGCTCAAAATTCGACCGGGAAGGCAGTCAAATAAATTCTTGAAGCTTACTGCACATTCTGCGAATATATAAAGTGCAGTAAGTTTCAAGAATTTATTTGACTGCCTTCCCGATCGAATTTTGAGCTGAAATGTGGTATGGACAAACTAGACTTGATGAGGAACATGCTCAAAAAATTTCATCGAAAAATTCCACCGGGAACCGCCCCAAACAGTAAAGTTCGGACGGCTGCTCCCGTCCCTTCGGCTGGACCTGAGCAGTCCTCCATACTAATCTATATAATATAATAAAGCAAACCTTTGTGGAATGCTTTAGAGAAAATTTTGACATGTGGCACTCTCTTCATGCTAAAATTCGCCAAGTGGCAGCTCCATATTAATACAATATCATTATGAAACTCAAAGCAAACCTTTTGAGCTTCTTAACACACGTTACATGCATCAATCATAAGCATTTAAAATGATCAAGAAAAATGCATTCACCTTCCAAAAAACCCCACATATATATATACTTTGTATTACAGTTATGGTTTTATCTAGTCGGATGGACAGGACCTTCTGTCTGACCGACGATTAGGGTCGGTTTCCGGTTGAAGTTTTTGAACAAGTTCTTCATGAAGTTTAGATTGTATCCACAAAATTTCAACTTATATTTAATCGGGAAGTCAATTAAATAAATTATTGAAAAAAAATCCGCTTTTATATTTAATCGAGAAATCAGTTAATTAAATTATTGAAACAAATTGTGTCAAACTATATACATAAAAGCGGTTTTTTTCAATAATTTATTTAACTTACTTCCCGAGCTGAAATTTCGTGGACATAATCTACACTTCATGATGAACATGCTAAAAATTCATAAAAAATTCCACCGATAATCTTCCCAAACGGCGGTCGGTCGGTCGAAGGATCCTGTCCGGAAGGCTGGACACGATATTTTCCCCTCATAAGCAAAGATGCCCCCTTATAATACATCAATTACTTATGTCATCATATTTCCTTTTAATGCATTTATCCCACTTCTTATTGCATTCGCTTTAAAGGTTATTTTGCCCACCTACTTATCTCCTATAGCACCTAAATAGACACATTAATTATTAAAATAAAGATTAAAAATTCCCGAAATGTTTTAGTTAAAATTCTTCAAAGATTACATTTTCTCTGGGCATGTTTTTGATATATCATCAACCGATAAAACTATTTCAATCCCAATTTACTAAGCACACTGATTCACTTTATTAATTAATCATTACAATTATTATTTTTATCAAGTATGTTATTCCCTTATTGTAATTATATTGCTTTTTTTTTATTGTAATTATATTGCTTATTCTAGGGAATCAAGATTCATACAACAATTAAGAAGATGTTGATTTATAAGCTTGAAAGACTTTTGGATGAGTCCAAATTTTACATATGAAAGGGTTTAAATCCATACTTAAAATACATATAAACATAATGTTACCAATTGGACCAGATCATGTCACCTCCTAATAATGATGACAATGATAATGTTGATATTATTAGTAATTTAATAATAATAATAAAAGTAATATGTCATATCCATTTGATCGTAAAATTTCATGTCTGATGTGGATATTGTTTATCTGATTTAATTTTATTTGTATCGTCTGATCTAATCTTCTGATATGGTCTAAATAAAATAAAAATAAAAATAAAGAATAAAACTTGGACATGCATAACAGCTCCTTGATCACAAGGTCTACCGCATTAACATGGATGTAAAGGTCGATTCATTCTTTTGTCCAAGTTTTATTAATATCTCTCTCCTTCATTTGTCTTCCGCTCATCCTCGATGTAACTATATATTCAATTCTATTCTTCAACATTCAACAATAATCTTAATGATTTCTACATTCCTTCTTAGCGACTCAATATAACTCATTGAATTGCACAGTCTATGAGTTCACATGTGATTCAGTATCACTTCTATTTTTTAAAATTTAATTTCATTCACATTTTTCATAACAAACACTAGAACATATTTTTCCGTGCGGTGCACGGGTACACATACTAGTATTATATAATCAGAGTGGTGATCTCATCCGGTAGTTCGGACAGTATTTCGTCCAGTCATTTGCAAAAGTAACCAGTGGGGGCTACGTTGAAAAAGAATAGGCAAAAACATTATTATTATTATTTCCTTATGGCTGAATTGTAATATAAATGCCCTCACTCTACTTTAGATGTTACACACTCCATAATTTATACTACCTCCGTCCCATATTTATCTTTATAGTTCGGTTTACGATTCTTGACTGACGATAAAGCAACTCGACCCCTGTTCACACTC